CAGCCTGGCTCCCTGGGCATTATATATAATATATACTGATAGGCAGCATAGTAACATTACTGACTGCTGTATGTGGCATTCACATGCTGCTGGAGGACAGTCAGTTAAAGGGCCACACTCAGTGTGCATGGTAAGGCTGTGCAGTATGAGGAGGTCATAGAGTAACCTGCACTCAGAGATATCATTTATCAGGACTGCCAGTCAGACCCAGCCTGGCTCCCTGGGCATTATATATAATATATACTGATAGGCAGCATAGTAACATTACTGACTGCTGTATGTGGCATTCACATGCTGCTGGAGGACAATCAGTTAAAGGGCCACACTCAGTGTGCATGGTAAGGCTGTGCAGTATGAGGAGGTCATAGAGTAACCTGCACTCAGAGATATCATTTATCAGGACTGCCAGTCAGACCCAGCCTGGCTCCCTGGGCATTATATATAATATATACTGATAGGCAGCATAGTAACATTACTGACTGCTGTATGTGGCATTGACATGCTGCTGGAGGACAATCAGTTAAAGGGCCACACTCAGTGTGCATGGTAAGGCTGTGCAGTATGAGGAGGTCATAGAGTAACCTGCACTCAGAGATATTTATCAGGACTGCCAGTCAGACCCAGCCTGGCTCCCTGGGCATTATATATAATATACACTGATAGGCAACATAGTAACATCACTGACTGCTGTATGTGGCATTCACATGCTGCTGGAGGACAATCAGTTAAAGGGCCTGTGAAGAAATGACTCCGTTCCTCAGGATTTCTACCTTTGTTGCACAAGTTAATTCACCCAATTCAGCTGGAATTCGGCATATAACTATAATTTCTACCATTCGAATGGATTCAGGCGAATCCCCCGTGTAAACTCTAGGTGGCCGCCATTTCGGCACTTTACACGTGGTCGCGGCCATTTTACGTGCGAACAGCGGTGTTTGCCCGTCAAACGCGTGGAACTAAAATCGGATACACAAACAGGCGAACACCGCTGAGACCTCCATACATCCAGAACTTCGCACGGAAAAAACCGAATGACCGGCCGTTCGGTAGTTACATGCAACTTCGTATGGGGATTTCAACGACCACGAAGATGCGAACGGATGGCAGGACTTTCGTCTTTTTTATTCGCCTAAACGGAGACCGACCGCAGGGCCAAAACTTATGGAACTATTTTCGGCTAGATGATCCGTGCGGTCGGTCAAAACTTTAGTGCTCCATAACTCCCGAACCATTCATCCGAATGGACTGATTTTTTGACATATTGTCCCCACCAGTGAGCACTATCCAGCGGTGCCCAATTTAAAGGTGTACCCCCTGTTTTTGGGGTACATCCAGAACTGGGGTAAAATAGTGCACGTTTTAATGAAGTTAACTGTTTATCAGAGGGGAGGGAGGTAGGGGCTGTAACCTGTACCTGATTGGTGATTTAATGCCTCCCCCTGGGTGTGTATTTTTTGTCTGTAACCCTAATAAAAAGCAGGCTGGAGATTCCAGACCTCAGATCTACTTGTATCCTGATTCTGGACTCTGACTGTTATTTGGGAATTCGTATGCTTTACCAAGGGGATTATCTTGGGAAGCTGTTATATTTCTTATGGACTTCATTGCTTGGAACTACCTTAGACGCTGGCATTGCAGGAGGAATTATCAAAGCGGTTCAGCTATACTTGATTTCCTTACAACTGGTGGCAAGCGGAGGGATTCGAATCCCAAATGGACATTTCAAAACAAGCAAAGGAATGAATGGCTCAGCAGTACCAGCTACTTAAAAGAACCACGCTAAAGGACTTACTGGAAGCTCGAGGCAGAGTGGCAAGTAACAAAACAAAAGCCACGTTAATTGCGGAGTTAATGCAGAGCGATAATACCAGTAATACAGAGATGGATCAAGAGGAAGAAACCGTGATGCAAAAGGACATCCGATGGACACTCAGTTTATTGGGACCCAATCCATCCTCAGAGGCGATACTGCAGGTCGTAGCACAAGCCAGACAAGCGCAAAAAGAGCGAGATGACCGGGACAGAGCGTCACAGGGGGATTTGCTACACCCCCCGAGAAGTATTGGGGAAATACCAAAGAAGGTAAATTATGCAGCGTTTAAATCATTTGTTGACAATGAAATGGAAATTGACAGTTACTTGCAAGACTTTGAACGTCAGTGTGCACTGGAGGGATTAGACTCCACCAAATGGGCTGCAGTCGTCAGCAGTAAATTGTCAGGTAGAGCAGCCGAGGCGCTGCGAGCAGTACCTGAGGGGGACATACATAATTATGAGAAAATAAAAGACATTTTGTTGGCCAGATATGCGGTAACTCCGGAGGCATACCGGAAAAAGTTTAGAGACCTGAGAAAGACTGGGAGAGATTCCCATACGGAATGGGCTTTTCGCCTGCAGCGGGCAGCCCGCAATTGGATGAAGGGCTGCCAGGCAACCACCCTAGAAGAAGCTTTGCAACTAGTGATACTGGAGCAATTTTTTAATCATACTGCAGAGGACATAAAAGACTGGGTAAAAGATAGGAAACCAAAAACCGTGGAGGAGGCCGCTAGGCTAGCGGACGAGTACCAGGATAACAGGAGGAAGGAGCCAGGGGCGAGCAGACCACCATTTAAGCCTCAGTACACAGCTCCAACAAACCCGGCTCCACCTAGACCTGCCATAGGTCACCCCCCACCGAACCCAGCAAACACACCTCGACCTCCTGCAGTGTGTCACTACTGCAAGCAACCAGGACATTACAAGCATCAGTGCCCTCGCTTAAACCGGGGAAGCTGGGAACGGCCAGCCCCACAACAACCCAGGGCAGCTGCTCACTGTGTGCAACAGGAACACACAGGCCCTGCCCTTAACCACGAAGAACAGTGGAGCGTATTACATGAGGTCAATCCAGTACAAGCTGGGGGGGACAACCGGGACCACCACCGCCAATGGATTACCGTCGATGGCGTGGGGGCCCGGGCGCTGAGAGACTCTGGGGCTACTTTGACTGTGGTACAGCCCCACACGGTCAGAGCACAAGCTCGCACCGGACGCACAGTCGCTGTAAGGGTGGCTGGGGGCGCTATTCACAAACTGCCCACCGCCAATATGTTTGTTGATTGGGGTTCCGGGTCTAAACAACTGGAGGTGGGGATTATGCAAGAACTGCCCGCCGAGGTTTTGTTGGGAAATGATGTGGGATGCCTAACCTCTCAACTAGCCCGAGACCCCCCTGCCGAGGCCTACCCGGTTACCACCCGAGCTCAAGCCAGACTGGAAGCTCCGCTGCACTCTGAGGAGAACCAGGTAAGAGTCGAAATACCCCCTTTACCCGATCCCCCCGTACCCTTCTGGGATACCCCCCAGGGGTTTGAACAGGAACAGCGTACTGACCCCACATTAGAAGGCTATAGGAAGGCCGCGGCCGCTACCCCCGAGAACAACCCGCACGAAAAATTTGAGTGGTATAAGGGGTTGCTATATAGGGTAACCGAGGGGGTGGGACAGGGGGCTACCCAGGTCATAAAAAGACAGTTAGTTGTGCCCCGTAAATTTCGGGCTGAGTTGTTAAAACTCAGTCATGACATTCCCCTAGCAGGACATTTAGGGGTCAAAAAGACCAGAGACAGGTTAACTCAAACCTTCTTCTGGCCCAGAGCTACCCAGGACCTAAAGTACTATTGTAGGACATGTGATGTATGCCAAAGGGTAGGAAAAAGGGGAGACCTTCGGAAGGCTAAGCTTCACCCCCTACCCATCATCGAACAGCCCTTCCACCGAGTAGCGGTGGATTTAATAGGTCCCCTCAGTCGCCCCAGTCCGTCGGGCAAAAAGTTTATCCTAACGGTGGTTGACTACGCCACTAGATACCCGGAGGCAGTCGCCCTCACCAATATAGAGGCCGAGACCGTGGCAGAGGCCCTTATTCAGATATTCACCCGAGTAGGTTTCCCGCAGGAGATACTCTCCGATCGGGGGACGCAGTTCACAGCCACCCTGACGCAACAACTGTGGCAGAGCTGCGGAGTGCAGCCCCTGTTCAGCGCCCCGTATCATCCCCAGACTAACGGGCTCTGTGAACGTTTCAATGGCACTCTAAAACAGATGCTAAAAACTTTTACAGAGTCCCACAAGAATTGGGAAAAATTCCTTCCCCACCTTCTGTTTGCCTACCGTGAGGTGCCCCAGGCCTCCACTGGGTTTTCCCCCTTCGAACTCCTGTACGGGAGAAAAGTTCGGGGCCCACTGGAGCTCGTACGGGAACACTGGGAGGGCAATACAGATGAGGGGGGAGTCCCTATCGTCCAGTATGTCCTGGAGTTCCGGGACCGTCTGCGGGCCCTCACCGAATCAGTTCGGGAGAACCTGCAGGCGGCCCAGGAGGACCAGAAAAAGTGGTACGATTGGAGGGCCCAGGATAGAGTGCTGGACTTAGGGCAGAAGGTACTGGCTCTGAGGCCAGTTAAAAAAGACAAGCTGCAAGCAGCCTGGCAGGGACCCTTTAAGGTAGTGGAACAGGTTAGCGAGACTACCTACATCGTAAGCAAATGCTCAGATGAAAGGCTGACCAAAGCCTTCCATGTGAACATGCTCAAACCATATTTTGAAAGGACAGAGGAGGTGGGCGCCGTGTGCGCCCCCGCCACAGAGGATAGTGAAGGGCTACCCCTCCCTGACTTACTGGATACCACCCCCTGTACTATTGACCAAGTAAGCTTGGGGCAAAATTTAGACCTCCTGGAGAAAGGTGAGGCTACCCATCTGCTGCAGGGATACCGAGAGATGTTTTCCGCTACCCCCGGCTATACCTCCGCTGCGGTACACCGTGTGGAAACCCAGGGAGAGACGCCCCTACCGCAACAGCCATATCGGATCCCGGAAGCAGTACGTGAGAGTATGCTCACCGAGTTAAGGGATATGTTACGGCTAGGGGTAATAGAACCCTCCCAAAGTCCTTGGGCCTCCCCGGTGGTACTAGTACCGAAGCGCGATGGCACTACGCACTTCTGTGTAGATTACCGGAGGCTTAACGACCGTACCATAACCGATGCCTACCCCATGCCTAGAATAGATGAGCTCTTAGATCGTATGGCGGGGGGGAACTACTCGACTACCCTGGACCTGTGCAAGGGTTATTGGCAGATCCCCCTGGAGCCTGCGGCCATCCCCAAGTCGGCGTTCGTCCCCCCGTTTGGGCTATACCAATTCAAGGTTATGCCCTTTGGGATGAAGAACGCCCCGGCTACGTTTCAGCGGATGGCGGATAGGCTCCTGGAGGGATTGCAGGACTTCGCATGTGCGTATCTAGATGATATTGCCATCTATAGCCGCACATGGGGAGACCATCTGGGTCATGTGTCCAGGGTGCTCGAACGAATCCACCTCGCCGGGCTCACTTTAAAACCCGACAAATGTCACGTAGGCCTAGCCGAGGTCCAGTATCTAGGTCACCGGGTCGGCTCCGGTAGACAACGCCCAGAGCCCGCTAAGGTAGAGGCCATAGCTAACTGGCCCCAACCCCGGACCAAAACCCAGGTACTGGCTTTCTTAGGGACGGCCGGGTATTACAGGAAGTTCGTCCCAGAATATAGCGCCCTAGCCAAGCCCCTCACGGACCTTACCAAAAAGGCCCTTCCCAAACAGGTCGCCTGGACCCCAGAGTGCACGGACGCTTTCCAGAAGCTCAAAGCGGCATTGAGTGAGGCCCCTGTGTTGGCAGCACCCGATTACACTAAACAATTCCTTGTACACACAGATGCCTCCATGTTTGGGCTGGGAGCCGTACTAAGCCAGGTTGGGGCGGATGGCATGGAACACCCGGTGGCATACCTCAGCCGTAAACTTTTGCCCCGAGAAGTCAGCTATGCCACCGTAGAAAAAGAGTGCTTGGCCCTCGCGTGGGCCCTCAAGAAACTTCAGCCCTATCTGTATGGGCGAGCGTTTACCCTTATGACCGACCACAACCCCCTGGTATGGCTCAACCGGGTAGCTGGTGACAACCCCAGGCTACTCCGGTGGAGCCTAGCTCTCCAACCATACAATTTTACCATGCAGTACCGTCCGGGTAAACAAAATGGGAATGCAGATGGACTGTCCCGCCAGACCGAACTGGACACCTAAAAAACATACTTTCATCGGACATCCCCAAGCCAACCCGACAGGGTCTAGGCGGGTATGCCGACCTATGGACTTATAGGGGAGCAGTGTGAAGAAATGACTCCGTTCCTCAGGATTTCTACCTTTGTTGCACAAGTTAATTCACCCAATTCAGCTGGAATTCGGCATATAACTATAATTTCTACCATTCGAATGGATTCAGGCGAATTCCCCGTGTAAACTCTAGGTGGCCGCCATTTCGGCACTTTACACGTGGTCGCGGCCATTTTACGTGCGAACAGCGGTGTTTGCCCGTCAAACGCGTGGAACTAAAATCGGATACACAAACAGGCGAACACCGCTGAGACCTCCATACAGCCAGAACTTCGCACGGAAAAAACCGAATGACCGGCCGTTCGGTAGTTACATGCAACTTCGTATGGGGATTTCAACGACCACGAAGATGCGAACGGATGGCAGGACTTTCGTCTTTTTTATTCGCCTAAACGGAGACCGACCGCAGGGCCAAAACTTATGGAACTATTTTCGGCTAGATGATCCGTGCGGTCGGTCAAAAACTTTAGTGCTCCATAACTCCCGAACCATTCATCCGAATGGACTGATTTTTTGACATATTGTCCCCACCAGTGAGCACTATCCAGCGGTGCCCAATTTAAAGGTGTACCCCCTGTTTTTGGGGTACATCCAGAACTGGGGGTAAAATAGTGCACGTTTTAATGAAGTTAACTGTTTATCAGAGGGGAGGGAGGTAGGGGCTGTAACCTGTACCTGATTGGTGATTTAATGCCTCCCCCTGGGTGTGTATTTCTTGTCTGTAACCCTAATAAAAAGCAGGCTGGAGATTCCAGACCTCAGATCTACTTGTATCCTGATTCTGGACTCTGACTGTTATTTGGGAATTCGTATGCTTTACCAAGGGGATTATCTTGGGGAGCTGTTATATTTCTTATGGACTTCATTGCTTGGAACTACCTTAGACGCTGGCATTGCAGGAGGAATTATCAAAGCGGTTCAGCTATACTTGATTTCCTTACAGGGCCACACTCAGTGTGCATGGTATGGCTGTGCAGTATGAGGAGGTCATAGAGTATCCTGCACTCAGAGATATCATTTATCAGGACTGCCAGTCAGACCCAGCCTGGCTCCCTGGGCATTATATATAATTTACACTGATAGGCAGCATAGTAACATTACTGACTGCTGTATGTGGCATTCAAATGCTGCTGGAGGACAATCATTTAAAGGGCCACACTCAGTGTGCATGGTATGGCTGTGCAGTATGAGGAGGTCATAGAGTATCCTGCACTCAGAGATATCATTTATCAGGCCTGCCAGTCAGACCCAGCCTGGCTCCCTGGGCATTATATATAATATACACTGATAGGCAGCATAGTAACATTACTGACTGCTGTATGTGGCATTCCCATGCTGCTGGAGGACAATCAGTTAAAGGGCCACACTCAGTGTGCATGGTAAGGCTGTGCAGTATGAGGAGGTCATAGAGTAACCTGCACTCAGAGATATCATTTATCAGGGCTGCCAGTCAGACCCCGCCTGGCTCCCTGGGCATTATATATAATATACACTGATAGGCAGCATAGTAACATTACTGACTGCTGTATGTGGCATTCCCATGCTGCTGGAGGACAATCAGTTAAAGGGCCACACTCAGTGTGCATGGTAAGGCTGTGCACTATGCTGAGGTCATAGAGTAACCTGCACTCAGAGATATCATTTATCAGGACTGCCAGTCAGACCCAGCCTGGCTCCCTGGGCATTATATATAATATATACTGATAGGCAACATAGTAACTTTACTGACTGCTGTATGTGGCATTCACATGCTGCTGGAGGACAATCAGTTAAAGGGCCACACTCAGTGTGCATGGTAAGGCTGTGCAGTATGAGGATGTCATAGAGTAACCTGCACTCAGAGATATCATTTATCAGGACTGCCAGTCAGACCCAGCCTGGCTCCCTGGGTATTATATATAATATATACTGATAGGCTGCATAGTAACATTACTGACTGCTGTATGTGGCATTCCCATGCTGCTGGAGGACAATCAGTTAAAGGGCCACACTCAGTGAGCATGGTAAGGCTGTGCAGTATGAGGAGGTCATAGAGTAACCTGCACTCAGAGATATCATTTATCAGGGCTGCCAGTCAGACCCAGCCTGGCTCCCTGGGCATTATATATAATATATACTGATAGGCTGCATAGTAACATTACTGACTGCTGTATGTGGCATTCCCATGCTGCTGGAGGACAATCAGTTAAAGGGCCACACTCAGTGTGCATGGTAAGGCTGTGCACTATGCTGAGGTCATAGAGTAACCTGCACTCAGAGATATAATTTATCAGGACTGCCAGTCAGACCCAGCCTGGCTCCCTGGGCATTATATATAATATACACTGATAGGCAGCATAGTAACATTACTGACTGCTGTATGTGGCATTCCCATGCTGCTGGAGGACAATCAGTTAAAGGGCCACACTCAGTGTGCATGGTAAGGCTGTGCACTATGCTGAGGTCATAGAGTAACCTGCACTCAGAGATATCATTTATCAGGACTGCCAGTCAGACCCAGCCTGGCTCCCTGGGCATTATATATAATATATACTGATAGGCAACATAGTAACATTACTGACTGCTGTATGTGGCATTCACATGCTGCTGGAGGACAATCAGTTAAAGGGCCACACTCAGTGTGCATGGTAAGGCTGTGCAGTATGAGGAGGTCATAGAGTAACCTGCACTCAGAGATATCATTTATCAGGGCTGCCAGTCAGACCCAGCCTGGATCCCTGGGTATTATATATAATATATACTGATAGGCTGCATAGTAACATTACTGAATGCTGTATGTGGCATTCCCATGCTGCTGGAGGACAATCAGTTAAAGGGCCACACTCAGTGTGCATGGTAAGGCTGTGCAGTATGAGGAGGTCATAGAGTAACCTGCACTCAGAGATATCATTTATCAGGGCTGCCAGTCAGACCCAGCCTGGCTCCCTGGGCATTATATATAATATATACTGATAGGCAGCATAGTAACATTACTGACTGCTGTATGTGGCATTCACATGCTGCTGGAGGACAATCAGTTAAAGGGCCACACTCAGTGTGCATGGTAAGGCTGTGCAGTATGAGGAGGTCATAGAGTAACCTGCACTCAGAGATATCATTTATCAGGACTGCCAGTCAGACCCAGCCTGGCTCCCTGGGCATTATATATAATATATACTGATAGGCAACATAGTAACATTACTGACTGCTGTATGTGGCATTCACATGCTGCTGGAGGACAATCAGTTAAAGGGCCACACTCAGTGTGCATGGTAAGGCTGTGCAGTATGAGGAGGTCATAGAGTAACCTGCACTCAGAGATATCATTTATCAGGACTGCCAGTCAGACCCAGCCTGGCTCCCTGGGCATTATATATAATATATACTGATAGGCAGCATAGTAACATTACTGACTGCTGTATGTGGCATTCACATGCTGCTGGAGGACAGTCAGTTAAAGGGCCACACTCAGTGTGCATGGTAAGGCTGTGCAGTATGAGGAGGTCATAGAGTAACCTGCACTCAGAGATATCATTTATCAGGGCTGCCAGTCAGACCCAGCCTGGCTCCCTGGGCATTATATATAATATATACTGATAGGCAGCATAGTAACATTACTGACTGCTGTATGTGGCATTCACATGCTGCTGGAGGACAATCAGTTAAAGGGCCACACTCAGTGTGCATGGTAAGGCTGTGCAGTATGAGGAGGTCATAGAGTAACCTGCACTCAGAGATATCATTTATCAGGACTGCCAGTCAGACCCAGCCTGGCTCCCTGGGCATTATATATAATATATACTGATAGGCAGCATAGTAACATTACTGACTGCTGTATGTGGCATTGACATGCTGCTGGAGGACAATCAGTTAAAGGGCCACACTCAGTGTGCATGGTAAGGCTGTGCAGTATGAGGAGGTCATAGAGTAACCTGCACTCAGAGATATCATTTATCAGGACTGCCAGTCAGACCCAGCCTGGCTCCCTGGGCATTATATATAATATACACTGATAGGCAACATAGTAACATCACTGACTGCTGTATGTGGCATTCACATGCTGCTGGAGGACAATCAGTTAAAGGGCCACACTCAGTGTGCATGGTAAGGCTGTGCAGTATGAGGAGGTCATAGAGTAACCTGCACTCAGAGATATCATTTATCAGGACTGCCAGTCAGACCCAGCCTGGCTCCCTGGGCATTATATATAATATATACTGATAGGCAGCATAGTAACATTACTGACTGCTGTATGTGG